GGGGGGGGGGGGGGGGGGGGGGGGGGGGGGGGGGGGGGGGGGGGGGGGGGGGGGGGGGGGGGGGGGGGGGGGGGGGGTGGGGGGTGGGTTGGGGGGGGGGGGGGGGGGGGGGGGGGGGGGGGGGGGGGGGGGGGGGGGGGGGGGGGGGGGGGGGGGGGGGGGGGGGGGGGGGGGGGGGGGGGGGGGGGGGGGGGGGGGGGGGGGGGGGGGGGGGGGGGGGGGGGGGGGGGGGGGGGGGGGGGGGGGGGGGGGGGGGGGGGGGGGGGGGGGGGGGGGGGGGGGGGGGGGGGGGGGGGGGGGGGGGGGGGGGGGGGGGGGGGGGGGGGGGGGGGGGGGGGGGGGGGGGGGGGGGGGGGGGGGGGGGGGGGGGGGGGGGGGGGGGGGGGGGGGGGGGGGGGGGGGGGGGGGGGGGGGGGGGGGGGGGGGGGGGGGGGGGGGGGGGGGGGGGGGGGGGGGGGGGGGGGGTGGGGGTTGGGGGGGGGGGGGGGGGGGGGGGGGGGGGGGGGGGGGGGGGGGGGGGGGGGGGGGGGGGTTGGGGGGGGGGTGGGGGGGGGGGGGGGGGGGGGGGGGGGGGGGGGGGAGGAGGGGGAGTGTTGGGGGGGGGGGGGGGGGGAAGGATATGGATTTGGGGGGGGGGGGGGGGGGGGGGGGAGGGGGGGGGGGGGGGGGGGGGGGGGGGGGAGGGGGGGGGGGGGGGAAAGGAATTGGGGGGGGGGGGGGGGGGGGGGGGGGGGGGGGGGGGGGGGGGGGGGGGGGGGGGGGGGGGGGGGGGGAAGAGAAGGGGGGGGGGAGGGTTGGGGGGAGGGATTGGGGGGGGGGGGGAGGGGGGGGGGGGGGGGGGGGGGGGGGGGGGGGGGGGGGAGAAGGGAGGGGGGGGGGGGGGGAGGGAATGTGGGGGGGGGGGGGGGGGAGGGGGGGGTTGTGGTTGTGGGAGGGGAGGGGGGGGGGGGGGGGGGGAATTGAATGGGGGGGGGGGGGGGGGATATGAATGGGGGGGGGGGGGGGGGGGGGGGGGGGGGGGGGGTTGTTGGGGGGGGATTGTGGGGGTTGGGGGGGGGGGTGGGGAAAAAAAAAAAAAAAAAAAATTTTTTAGGTAAAAAAAATGGAAATTTATTAAATTTGTTTTTTTTATTTATATAAATGGGGGGGTTTTGGGGGGGGTGGGGTATAATATTGGGGGGGGGGGGGGGGGGGGGTGGTTTTGGGTTTGGGGGGGGGGGGGTTTGTTTGGGGGGGGTGGGGGGGGGGGGGGGGGGGGGGGGGGGGGGTGCATACATCCACTCTGATTTGTGGATTTTCAATCCGCTTTTGGCTTTGTTTGATAGCTTTGGACTCCTTTGGGTAGAATCTGAAAACTACACAATTAACTCCGTCGAAATTTGTATTATAATAAATAGCGGCTTCAAGCGAAGTTCCTCATTTTGTCAATATCGGTTGTGGAAGTTCAGGAATTTCTGGGCACGTTTATGAAATTCATTGTGGAGATTTAAAAAATAACCATTTCGTAACGTAATTCAAGGAAACGTTTCAGAAATATGTGGATCTGATTCACAAACGACAAAGCCCGTGACATTTTATAATAGGTGATACACACACGTGTGGAATGTGGAGTGTGTGAGTATGGCGTACTTATGCCGTATCTCTTGATCCTGCTACCCGCGGTAGAGAATTCAATCCCAACGTTCCAGCTTTAATAACAATATTATTTCAAAAAGTATGTTATGGCTGCTTTTAGAATTGAAGTTATTGAACTATTACTCATTACGAACAATTGCCTAGAACAAAATTTCATTTTTAATGATACCGCTTACATACATAAATATAATTTAACATAGATTTATTGGGGTCAAAATAAAATAAAGAATGTTTGGTGCCATATCCCCAAAAAAAGCAACTATGCAGCTACGGACACGTGTTTCGGAGTTATTGCCCCTCATCAGCGTAACGTAGCTAAAGAATTGGATCTAGGATGGGATAGATCAGGAACAAGAACTAAAATAAAGCTGGAAAGTACAGTACACAGTACTCAATTAGTGCCTTCATGTTCCTTGTGCCAAAAAAAGGCCTCAATGAGCACAGGCAACACACAGAGCTCTATGTGTACTGCCCGTTTCCACCTGGCAAATACAAACAAAATAATATAGATTTATTGGGGTCAAAATAAAATAAAGAATGTTTAGTGCCATATTCCCAAAAGAGAGCAACTATGCAGCTACGGACACGTATTTCGGAGTTATTGCCCCACATCAGCGTAGCGTAGCTAAAGAATTGGATCTAGGATCTAAGTTGTTTTTTTGGGGATATGGCACTAAACCTTCTTGTTTTAGTTTGACCCCAATAAATCTATATTATTTTGTTTGTATTTGCCAGGTGGAAACGGGCAGTACAGATAGAGCTCTGTGTGTTGACTGTGCTCATTGAGGCCCCAATTGTGGCACATGGGAACATGAGGGCACTAATTGAGTACTGTATACTGTACTTTCCAGCTTTATTTTAGTTCTTGTTCCTGATCTATCCCATCCTAGATCCAATTCTTTAGCTACGCTACGCTGATGAGAGGCAATAACTCCGAAACACGTACCCGTAGCTGCATAGTTGCTTTTTTGGGGATATGGCACTAAACATTCTTTATAAATATAATTGTTCGGTCGTCTATATCGGTAGGATATTCAGAAATGTCCAAATTCATTTAAAAGAACATCTTCAATGTGTCAGAAATGGTTCTACGGAATCAATATTTGCCAATCATCTACGTGTTTCAATGCCGACACAGTTTATAAGGCCTTAGATTTAATAGGAAAAAGTTTATTACTGAATAATTTAGTCTTTAGAAATATATATATGTTGCAGTCATATTGCATAATCCGCCTATTTGCAAATGGACTAGGCGTATTGAACAAAACACATTAGTTGTTGAGGTTAGATTTCTTGATTTTTATATCCCGATATCCCGCTAACGAGGAACGGGAGTCGGGTCTTAAGTGCTCTGGAGGGCGCGACGAATTTTTTACGTAAAAGGGGTGCTTTTGTACATATTTTGCCCTTATAAAGTCATATGGTTTGTCCGCGCGATTTCGCGGGGGTGAGGGGTGAATTTTGAAATACTCGTTTTTTCCAAAAAAATGGTTCCCTCAATGCAGGTATGGGACCACTAAACGAGTACAACGCCGTCGATATCGCTTCGATAGCTCTTCCCGTTGCCGAGATATAGGGCCCGGAAAATCCCCCCCCGTGCCGCCCAATGAGCAACAGGAATCTCGTGTAGCGACTTTTAGAGCTCCGTTTTGACCCCCTGGGGGCCATGGGGGCGCCACGGGATGAAAAAACTTCCATCTCTACCCACCCCCCCACCATTGGGGTGCGTGGAGGGGGTGCTACATACCCCAATTAGAGACGAGGGGGTTGCTAATATAGGAAAACGCCCTTTCGGCAAATTCGCGCGCGGCATGTCGTTCTACGTCGCCGACGACGTAAAAAAGTCTTATGACCGAATTCGATCCGACGCATCGTAACGGCGCGGCGTGGCGGCCTTCGACGCGCCGAAAATTTTTGGTTGGCCGAAAAAATACTGCGCCGGCAGATTAAGGAGCGCTCTCCCGTGGACGGGTATTACTCGGGGAGGGGTTTTTGGAAAAAATCGGGGGTTGGGGGGTCGGGGAGGGGGATAATTTCGGAACGCGCCTTTTCGGCAAAATCGCGGGGGGGCGTGTCGTTCTACGTCGCGAACGACGCAAGAAAGCCTTATGACTGAATTCGATCTGACGCGTCGTAACGGCGCGGCGGCCAATAATATACAAATTACTGTTGCGACAGAGGAGGACGCCTTGCGACGCGCCAAGGGTGCGCGTAGCGCACGCTTAACTTGTTGTTCACGTTCTCTTACTGTTCACGCGCTCATACTGTTCACCCGTTCTTACTTGTTTATACGATATGACTAGGCTTTCTGCAAAAAGCCGAATTATGCAATATGTCTGCGACATATAAATATTCACATACACCTAATTTCACAGCAGTAAATGCACACCCATAAGTTAATTTTGAATCTTGTTGATTTTTATTCTTTTTGACGAAAAATTAAATACGTATTCCTTCTTACAGGGTGTCATTTTCAAGTATCAATTCTTCGACAATCGAGAGATAACGCCATTTTAAGAAAAAAGTTTCAATAAATACAGATTGTATATCATTCGGTTTCAAAGATAGAGGGGGCTGAAATTTAGTATTTTTATGAATTTGTATAAAGAATAAATGTTGTTGTTGTTGTTGTTGTTAAGGGGCATGATAGCCGAGTGAGTAAAGCGCTTATAGCTATTCACTCGGTACCGAAAATCGATGGTTCGAATCCATCCCGGAGCAAGTTTTAAAATTTATTTGTAATTTGTTTTGGATTAAGATGGGAGAGAACTGTCGATGCCCTAGATGTGGTTCGGACTCCACAATAAACTGTAGGCTCTCGTCTCTCTTCACTCAACATAATACATAGGATTTTCTGGGATTTAATTCGGTGACTTGAGATGCGGTTAAAAAAAAAATTAAAACATTTTTTACTGTTGCTCAGGTAAATAAGTTTTGCTTCAATTTATGTCATTCCTTGTTTAGAAAAAAAACAGTGCGGTAATGGAATCACAACTGCACTAGTGCGGTAATAAAGACCTTAACGAAACTCAAATTAATTTGTTTAATAGCCTGTAGCAACATCGATGATTATACACCCATGCCTTTTAATATAAATGAAATTATTTTGCTCGGGGGACACTTTCTAAAAAAATTTGCTTTCAAATTAACGACTATTAAAAGACAGCAGTAAAGCTTATATCTGCAAAAATTTAATAGCATTATTGTCGCAACCTTTATTAAAAATGGTGGAAAGAATAATAATAATAAATAATAAATAACACCACAGAAACTAAAAGATTCCCAAAATCCAAAGCCGAAGCTGTCTAGAAAGTGGTTACATTTATAAAAAACATGGACATACAAGCATTCCCATTGACATTGCCCGTACCAGTGGCGGGATTCGAACCCGCAGCTAGGATAGAAGATTACTAGTTATACTTGCCATCGTGTGCTCTAGCCAACTACACCACCGAGCTGGAAAAATGTGTTAAATGTGTTATTCCTTTTGTGTATGAATTTTTCAGTAATAAAAGTATTTTTCAAATTTGGCGACCGTCGCTATCACTCTCTGCGCAAATTTGAGCTTTATTGCAGTCTACACGTAGGGTCATTATTTTGTGTAAACAATCTCAACTATTAGATTTTCAAATTGTGAAAGCAGCACTAATGATATATTTAGATAATTTTCCTTCGAACACAGTTTTTATGAACTGCAGAAGATATTGATAAACTAATGTCATTTTAAAACTGTACATTATTTTTTAAATTGATCCCGAATTAATGTAATCTTGTTAAAAATACGTCCAGTTGCCAAACGACATTGTGTCGTCAACTGTTAGTGATCTATTGATAAAACTGGATATAAAAGCCCTTCACCCAACAAGGGTGTCACTGGGGACAGTTATAGAAGAAATATCTTAATAATCATATCATTGTTAAAAATAACTGAAATATTCTTCTCAGAAACACTTAAATAAATTACAGTAAAGTCTAGGTATTTCTTGACATTCTTTTATAAATGTAAAAATCATTATTACTTATTATTTAGATATAATGAAATTTCGCTTTGAAACTGTCCCATAATTCAATTATTCTTTGTTTCGCCATTTCACTTTAGCTTCATAATTACTACTAATCTTAACTTTATGGAAATTTTATTTTTAAATCCTTATGTAGTAAAATGGAAAATTGAAAATCCAATATAACAAAGATTGTATCTTAGACGCCAAGGCTTTTACTATATTGGGGTATAATTTACGATTACAAATTAAAATGGAAAAGGACATGCTATAAAAATTCTTTATATACATATGTCAACACATTCTATTAAAGTGAAATATTTAATGGCTACTTTTAAAGTAGTTTTTTGGGCGATACAGCAAACATGAAGATCGCATGAGAAAATTAACGTTTTAACATTTTCAAATCTTATAACAGTGTCAATCGTACCTTAAAATTGGAAAGTATTTTAGCAAATACTAAATATACAGGGTGTCTTTGAAAGGCTGAACAAGAAGCTATCGCACGTGTACCGAGCTATTGCGATCCGAGCTATTGCGATTCTAGCTATTGCGATCCGAGCTATTACGGTCCGAGTTATTGCTATACGAGCTATTGCAATCAGATATTGAGGTGTTTATCTGTTCTGGCAATAAATGTTTATTGTCGTAATCTTTTTGATCGCCAGTACTGTGCGTGTGATCAAAAGTTGACCGTCCAAGTTTCAATGAAGTAAAATAATTTTACAAACCTCTTACAAACGTTACAGACACCCGAAATCTCCCTTATTGGCGTAGCGTATACTTACTTGGCACTAAAGAAGGCAAATACCAGAAACCGGTCTACGAATGGCATACTTTGCGGCCTCAAGAAGGATTGCTACTTATTTCGTAAAAGTCTTTTACTAGTGGACAATCACAAATTAATTACTTACCACCTTGTGTGATATAAATTTATAAATCACATAATTAAAATTACCCAAACAACGAAGATCATGACCGCGTCGAAAATACAATTTCCCAAATATACGGTCATGAAGTCCAAATCCAAATTCCTATGACGCGACGGAAAATTTTAGCAACCATGATCACGCCCGCGGAACTGAAAAAGCTTATCAGGAATTTCGCAAACAAGAAACCGCCGGGATCGGGCGGTATCGATCATAAACTGCTTAAAAATTTGCCGGGAAAGGGTATTGTCCAACTTACGCACATCACCAATGGCATTCTGCGTCTGCAACACTGGCCTAGCCAGTGGAAGAGTGCGGTGGTGTGTCCTATCTTGAAACCTAACAAAAATCCGAAAACGGCTTTTAGTTACCGTTCGATATCTTTACTATCGGCGGTATCTAAGACGGTCGAAAAGGTCGTCCTGAAGCGGCTTGAAATCAATGACGATTTTCAGTTCGGTTTCAAGAAGGGACGCAATGATGTCAAGCGACAGTATAATTTCGACAATAGCACCGCCGCCATGTTGCTCTTAAATATTGAGATATCGATACCGTCTGGTTGCCCGTATCATATATAAACTGCACCGGTACTACTTTCCGGGCCATTTAACGCAACTGATAAAATTGTTTTGAATTTAAATTTGTTAAGTGATAAACGCAGCTGGTTTACTGCCTATCGATTCCCGGGTCAAATCCCGGTTTCGATTCTGGCAAAGTCGAAGGGTTTGGTTGTGTGTATCTGCGTTTTTTTTTTCAACCCTGAAACCCCTGTCTGTCTAATTTATGCGATGTGTTTTATGTTTTATGTTCTTTTACGTACATTAATTTTACCCTCTCTGTTGGAATACTTTGGTATTTTAATATTTACTATACCTTTATTAGTGATATTAGATTTGTTTACACAAGTCTGCTTATTGCAAACGTCTAATTAAATATCAAATCCGCCGTTGAAAGCTGCAAGACTGTATCAAACATCGGTACTTTTCATCCTTGGTAGTGTATAATTTGTCTTTGTAAACAGATTGTATCTCGAGGGTATTATATCATAAAGGCGTATAATCACATGACTTATATTGGCGTTTATGCCCTTATGATGTAATGCCCTCGATATTTATTGAGGGTACCATACAGAAGTATGAGCTAAGAGAAAATATAAAAAAATATTAAGCAATCAAACATTTTAGAGAATGGCGCTCTCCAGGGTATAAAATGTTATAATTAGAATAACTTTCATGGACACACCATTCACGTTTTAACAAAATAATATTCTATGTTTTTGACTGAATACTATCCTGATTCCAATGGTGTATTACAAGTGGTATTTTTGTGATAAACATGAAACAAAGAATTCAGTGTGTACCAAAAAATCGGGTTTTAGAAAAAACTACAAATATCAGTGTTATAAAAACTTCAACACTTCACCTCTTATACCTATAATCCAATGAATTTTTATTTTTACCGAGAAATGGTACAATAGTAACTTACCGCAATCATAGGCGATACTAGAAAATTTTTCAAGGAGGGGCAAAAATAAATGTTTTTATAATATCCTTTACTGAAAAACAAAATATTAAAAGAGAATTCTTATAAATAAATTAAACACTGATCCTTGTTAACAAAACAGAAACAATCAGGGTATTTTTTATTAAAACTATGCAGTTTTTATTTACACTACATTATGGATTGTGGCATAATGTCTAAAAATGAAAATAAACTCTAAAAATCTTAAAAGGGCTATTCTTGTTACTTACTCCAAATATTCGATTTTAAAATAAAATAAAAAAAACATCTTTGGTAACATAAAATCTCGATTAATCTTAAAAGGACTATTACACCAAATCTTTGATATTAAAAAGAAAAAACCGCTGCCAATTACTTGGGGATCAGAACTTTCTGACCGTAGTAAAACTCGACGTGTGGTGGAGTTTATAATAAAAGTAATTTTTGACGTTTCGAAAAAGTAAAATTTTTTGTTGTTTCAAAAAAGTACATTTTGACGTTTCAAAAAGTCACTTTGACGTTTTAAAAAAGTCACATTTTTTGACGTTTCAAAAAAGTCACATTTACAGAGCACTTAAAACAGTCTTTTTAAAAAATCATATCTGTCATATCAGTTACATTAGAACTACCAAATTTAAGCTGATCCTAGATAAAGTGCTAGTTAAGGGCGTGAGCATGGAAAATTTAACCTAGATGTATAATAGATAGTTACTTAGCATAAAAAAAATTGGAAAAAATTCCTCAACTTTGATGTTTAATGTTGAATCTCTTAAGAATGTATATGCTATAATCATATGCTCTCGCCATAAAACAACTCTTTAAACATACATTGTAAAAGATATACGTAAAAATGTTAATAAGTTTCTTGTTAAAACGTTTTAAAAAAACCTCACAGTCACAAATAATTGCACTGGAAGGTGCTGTGCTTTACAGGAAATTGGCGAAAACTGTATAAATATATCTTTTACTACATGTCCATTGTCCAGTATGTAATTGTAACACATATTTAAGTTTATTTCGCCAAAAAATTCGAAGTTGATTTAAATGTGTTAAAGGACTCTTAACTAGTAAAGCTTACCTGCTTCCGAATTTATTAGAACAAAGTCTATTTCGTATATTTTCCACCAAATCTTTATAATAGTAACTATCTAAATGTGTTTCAAGTTTATCCCTCAGATTAATTAACAGTCAGTTATATATCGCTAGATTTAATAGCTACGATAACAAAATGTTAAAAGTACACATAAAACTACCTTTGGGAAATCATGCGTTTCCCTGGTGTTTTAAATAAAAATAATAAAATTAAAAATGCAATAATGCTAAGGCCATAGGGACATACATTTTATGCAACAAAAGAAAAGTGTTGTAAATGATGAAATTTCTTTATTACTGAAAAATAAGAAAATACTATTTGGGCGTTATGAGTTGTGAACTGGGAATGCATATTTTGTCATGGTCCATTTAATAGGAACGATAATAAAAACAGGAAATATTATACCATAAATGTCTCATGTTATTTATAAGAAAATGAGTGAGAATAAAACTGTCAACATTTTACACATGAAAATAGTCTAAAATGGTAGACTTTTATTGACAAATTTCTCAACACAGATTTTAATAATTTCGTTTAGTCAATTTACTTTTACCATATTTCCTCCATTTTTGTTTCGTGATTCATTTATCGTTCTATATCTTTTTACTTTCGTATACCTAATCTAAGGAAGTATAGTAATTGTGATTTTTTTTGGACCTCGCGATATTGATCGATTTATACGTTTTGAACCCTCCTGAATCCATTCTATTTTTCCGAGTGTGTATGTGTGTATATGTATATCCGCGAGAACTCAAAAAATACTAATGGGAGACTTCCCAAATTTGGCAGTTAAGATTGTCAACAACATTTTGTACATTAAATTTGGTGAATTTAGTTCCACTAGAAGAGACATAAAAAATGAAAGAAGAAAAATGGTACAATTTCGGGAAAAAAAATTAAAAATTTTTGTTGCATTTCTGGACGAATCTCGACG